AGGGGAGAGCTGTGTTTCCTCTCGACCAAGAAGTTGAAGGGACTGTTCAGAGAAGAGGGTGAAGATACAGGAGATTTTGCTGATGACTAACTGTGAGTTTCAAAGGGCTCCCACTAAATGTGTAAATATAAATGGATGGATTAAAATGTACCTAGTGTTTGTGCAAGCCCTACGTAAAATGTACAGTGCTATACAAACGTAAGTAATCACTACTTTAACTGCCTTGATTGAGGAAACTTCATCCTACTTTCATGGTTTTCTTTACATTAATTTGTATTTTCTATATTGACAATATTCTTTTCCAGCCTTATTAACCTCCCCCTCATGTTGTTAGTTGCGGTCCAGTTGATTCTGACTCATGGCGATCCCATGTGATTTTCTTCACATCTTTTCTGAAATGTGTTTAGGGGCAGGAGAGGAAACTCTCCCCTTAGGGAAAACACCATCATGCAAATTTAATTGCATAATTTCCTATTATTCTGTCTGCCTTAAACACAATTTAATGATGACGGGAATTCTTTTTTTTTATACTTTAGATGAAGGTTTACAGAACAAACTAGCTTCTTATTAAACAGTACACATATTGCTTTATGACATTGGTTAACAACGCCATGACATGTTAATACTATACTCCCCCTTCTCCACCTGGGGTTCCCTATTACCAGCTTTCCTGTCCCCTCCTGCCCTCTAGTCTTGTCCCTGGGCTGGTGTGCCCCTTTAGTCTCGTTTTGTCCTATGGGCCTGTCTAATCTTTGACTAAAAGGTGAACCTCAGGAGTGACTTTATTACTGAGCTAAAAGGATGTCCGGGGCTCACACTCTCAGGGTTTCTCCAGTCTCTGTCAGGCCAGTAAGTCTGGTCTTTTTTTGAGTTAGAATTTTGTTCTACATTTTTCTCCAGCTCTGTCTGGGACCCTCTATTGTGATCGCAGTCAGAGCAGTCAATGGTGGTAGCCGGACACCATCTAGTTGTACTGGACTCAGTCTGGTGAAGGCCATAGTAGTTGTGGTCTTTTAGTCCTTTGGACTAATCTTTCCCTAGTGTCTTTAGTTTTCTTCATCTTCCCTTGCTCTTGAAGGGGTGAGACCAGTGGAGTATCTTAGATGGTGGCTCACAGGCTTTTAAGACCCCAGATGCTACTCACCAAAGTAGAGTGTAGAACATTTTCTTTATAAACTATGTTATGCCAATTGAGGTAGATGTTCCCTAAGACCATGGTCCCCACAGCCCTCAGTCCAGTAATTTGGTCCCTCAAGGAGTTTGCCTGAACAAGTTGTGTTGGCTTCCCTGGTACTGTGTACTGTCTTACTCCCTTCACCAAAGTTGCCACTTATCTATTGATTCACGGTGAGAATTTAAAGAGTTAGAAGGGAATTTAAAGATTACATAATGCAGCCTTCTTATTTTACAATTGACCAGAGTTTGTGTGGTTTGCCAAATTTAATCAGATGGTTACTAGCAGAGCCAGGGCTAGAACCCATGCCTCTTCCTCTCTACCTTTTCTCTGTGTTTCTTTGAACAGCACAAACATAGAAAGTACCTGCTAGAGGGGCACTGCAGTTTTGGTGGTTAAGAGTACAGGCTCTGATTTCAGAATACCCAGGGTCAAACTTTAGCTTTGATATTTATTAGCAGTGTGACCTTGGTCAAGTAATCCAACCTCTCTGTGCTCTGGTTTCCTCTTCTATAAAATGAATGGCATAATAATGCCTACCTCATAGGATTGTTATGAGAATTAAATGAAAGTACCTAACAGTAGTTGGTAGATAGTGATCTAGAAATTTTAGCTATTGTTACTATTTAGCAAGCACTCTGCTAACTGCTGATGTAACAGAGAAAATAGAGGCCAAAGATTTTACTCACAGCTGTTTTTGTTTGGTATGGAGTTTAAGAAACAAACACAATGCCAACAAAAAATTGAGATCATGTTTATGAGTCTGGATATTTCACATAGAGATCTAAATTTCCAGGTTCTCATAAAATTGGAAGTTCTGATGATCTTAAGCCAGAATTCTCACTGAGTAACAATTGGCTAGGGCAAAAAGCAGCTGCCCTCTTTAGTCCATACCACTCACAAAACGTACATGCATCCTTCCAGCTTCCAGTTTTTAGCTTGACTGCTTTACTACTTTTAGCCTGACTACTGCATGCCTTTGAAGTTGCAGCCCAGATTAAAATAATCCCTGCTCCCAAGGAACTCACAATCCGATAGGTGAGATGCATTCCCATAAACAATTCACAATACAGCATGATAGGAATAAATACAAAGTTGCAAAGTACAAAGTATAGCACTAGCCTGAAGGAACATAAGTGGGTAACGAATGATGGAGGAACTGGTGGTGATGTGTGTTGTCAAGAAAAAAACCAAACAAACCCATTGCCGTCGAGTCGATTGCGACTCACAGTGACACTACAGGACAGAGCAGAACTGCCTCATAAGGTTTCCAAGGAGCAGCTGGTGGATTCAAACTACCAGACTTTTGCTTAGTAGCCATAGCTCACCAAAGCTCATAACCACTGCACCACCAGGGCTCCGTTGTCAAGAAAGTGGCTTTGAAAGAATGTATAGGTATTTGCCAGGAAGAAGAGAAGAAAGGGGAAATAGGATATATAAAGGCATTGAGATTGGAGACAGTTTTTGTGTTTAGAAACTATAAGGGGTTCAGTTTTGGAGAATACAGGGGGAGAAGTAGGCTGACACTAGATAATAAAAGTCCTTTAATTTAGATTTTACCTTGTAGGAAATAGAGAGATTTTGAAAGGTTTTCTCTCATTAAATTCCAAACGTAACATAATTACGGCCAAAGTACCCTTACCATCCTCCCTCAAATGTCTTTGAACCTCATGTTTGAGAAGGATATGCCATATAATCCATAATATTCTTTGAAATCTTCAATAGCAAATTATCACTTCAAGAAGAAGCCTTGTCTTTATAAAGGGTGAAATATAGTTGTTAGATTTGTCTGCAAGTGAAGTCTCATTGTCTGCAAAATGGGGTTAATAATAGCACCTTCCTCGAGGCTATTAAACTTAGAATTAAACTCAATATAACCATGTAAAGAGCTTACCAAGGTACCGATACAGAGTAAAAGTGGTCAATTATTACTAGTTACTACTATTATCATACTGATTGTTGAGTCTTCCTTGTCTGTTTACTGTATTATTTAGAAAATATAACAACATCTCATTAAGTCAAGCATGTATTTATCAGTGAAAACTGAAATTAAATCAAGATGGTGGCATCTTTGCTGCATTTGGTAAAAAATAAATGCAAAATATGATTGACAAAAAATGGGCAAAGGACTTGAATAGACATTTCACCAAAGAAGATATAAAAAAAACCAAACTAGTTGCTATTGAGTCAATCCCAAGTCATGGGGACCCCATGTGTGTCAGAGTAGCTGTTCTCCAAAGGATTTTCAATGGCTGACTTTTCAGAAGTAGATCATGAGGCCTTCATCCTGAGGTGCCTCTGGGTGGATTCAAACCACCAATCTTTCTGTTAGTAGACTAGCTCGTCAACCGTTTACACCACCCAGGGCCTCCTAAAAAAGGTATACAAATGGCTAGTATACCCATGAAAAGATGTATAATGTCATTAGTGAAATGCAAATCAAAACCACAAGGAGATACCACTTCATGCCTATGAAGATGGCTATGATGAGAAAAGCAGAAAACAACAAATGTTGGTGAGGATGTTGAGAAATTGGAATCCTCACCCATTGCTGGTAGGATTGTAAAATGATGCAGAGAGGAAAACAGTTTGGTGGTCCTTCAAAAACTTAAACATAGAATTACCATATGACCTAGCAATTCCACTCCTAGGTATATACACCCAAAAGACTTGAAAGCAGGTACTCAAACAGATACTTGTACACCAGTGCTCATTGCACCATTACTCACTATAGCCAAAAAGTGGAAACAGCCTAAATGTCCATCAACAGATGAATGTTTGAACAAAATGTGGTATATACATGTAATGGAATATTACTCAGCCTTAAAGAGAAATAAGTTCTGATACATACTGTGACATGGACGAACCTTGAAAGCACTATGCTGAGTGAAATAAGTCAGATACAAAAGGACAAATACCATATGATCTCATTTACATAAAATATCTAGAATAGGCAAATGCATAGAGACTAAAGTTTATAAATGGTTACCAGGGGCAAGTGGGAGGGAGAAGTGGAGAGTCATCGCTTAGGGGACACTGAGTTTCTGATAAGGGCGATGACAAACCTTGGAAATGGATAGTGGTGATGACTGCACGATCTGGTGAATGTAATTAATGTTACTCAACTGTACACGTAAAAATGGTTGAAATGGCAAATGTTTTGTTATATGTATTCTACTAAAGTGAAATAAATACTATATTGAAAATGACAATATAAAACTCCCTTCCTTTCTAGATTATTGACTGCAGAAGTTCCAAGAACAATTTAAAGACTTTTGTACGCCACAGAAAGTGTAAGTTATTGCCTACAATTACTAATCAATATAATAGTTTTTTGTGGTACTTTGGTATAAGAAACGGTTCTCCAGTTCCCTCGGCTTAAAGAGCAACCAAAATTCCTTCAGGCAAAAGACCTTTTCACATCTGACCGTAACATCTTGGATATCCAGGGAGCTCAGACAATCCACTTGGCGGGAAAGGGATAAATACAGACCAAAGTCGCACAATCTGTTTCTATTTAGTTTATAAACTGACATCAGGTGTGTCAGCTTTCGCGCCTTGTGGGACTTGAAGTCCAGAGGGAAGAAGTGATCAGGGCTGTTGAGGCAGGGAAGTCGTCAGCTCCTGTACGTCTGAGCAGTAAGGACTACAACTCCCTACTAACATGGGAAGGCCGCGCTGTATGACGGACAACCAACCATGCCTGAGCAGGGCAAGCCCCACCCCCGAACTCGTAGGACAGCCTCCACCAATGGCAGAGCACCCAGCGCAGAGCCTGCGGCTTAGGTTGTGAGGCCCCGGCCGGGGGCGGGGAAGAGCCCAGTGGGTTCTGAACGAGCTCGGCAGCTGGGTGGGTCTGGGCGTTCGGCGCGCCCTTCATTGAAGCGGCGGTGGCCGGGCTGGGCGCCGCGAGTGGGAAGCGACGGCGCGGCTGGAAAATGCCGGTGCATTCCCGAGGGGATAAGAAGGAGACGAACCATCACGATGAGATGGAGGTGGACTACGCTGAAAACGAGGGGAGCAGCTCGGAGGACGAGGACACGGAGAGCTCGTCGGTCTCCGAGGATGGAGATAGCTCAGGTATGCAACCCAGCGGGGCTGGGACTCTGAGTCCCCGCGCCGGGGGCGCGACAGGCCGCTCTGCACGCGGGGCAGCTGCGTCCTGCTGGGAGAGCGGGGCGGGGAGAGAAGGAAGGGGCGGGGATTGGCTCCCAGCCCTCCGCGGCAACCGGACCGGTCGCGGGGCGCTGCCGGGCTCCAGGCGTGTTCCTGGCGCAGGGCGGGGCGGAGCGCGGGCCTGGGCTCGCCCAGTCCCGGGAGGCGGCTCTGTTCTGCTGGCATTTGGACCCGCCCTTGGGACCTCCAGGCTGTGTCCTGGGGCTGTGGACAGAGGCGGGGCACGCCCCGCAGCTTGTCTAGGAGACCCAGGAAATGACTTCTCTTCACGGACCACCAACCTCTTTCCTTTTTTCACCTTTGCAACGTTAATTTCTCAACGTGGTTGGGTTGTCGGGGCCGAGGGTAGATTTGTCCCGGCCTTTGGCTGGCTTAGAATTTATAAACCTCAGCTTCGGAGTCAGCCTATCAGTCAGCATTTTACATCACTTCTCTTTTGGGGGTTGACTTGGGAGCTGTCCAGTCTACAGCATCTCCCTGAACTTTCAAGCCTGAGAGGAAGGGACCAACTTTTGGGGACAGTTTTGGATCTTCAGGAGAAGATTCCACTTATGTTTATAAATCGGTTTGTGGCAGCTTTCAATTTCTCCAAGTACGTTCTTCCCTCTCTCTTTTCTAACTTTGGGCTATTTTAGGTTTTTTTTTTTTTTTTTTTTTTTTGCGGCGATGGAAGGGGATTAACACCTCAAATCAATTTTTCAAACTTTTAGGAATGGTTATTCAAAAAAGAAATGGAATTTGTGATTACCTGGATTTTTTTTCGTCTATCCGTATAATGGGGATGAGATTCATTTCTTTCTTTGGGCCTGATTATGGCCATGTAGGGCAGGGTACAGGTTGAGGGCAGTCTATTATAATCCGTATACATCCTGTTTTCAGGTTGCCCTTTCAAAGTAAATCTCCTTGGAAGAATGTAATTTTAATCAATGAATCAACCATCCAAAAATAAATATTTATCAGTGACTTCTTTGTGTAGCATTGGGCCCTACCCAGTGTAGGGTATAAATAAATAGTTACAATCTGGTCTCCCTGAAGACAATTATAAAGCTATCATAAGTCACCACTTGATTTAATTACTAAATGAATGCTTAACTGTAAACGATGCTACAGGAATTCAGAGCAGAGAAAATCTTTTCAGAAGAGAATGGTCAGCACAAACTCTTTGAAGAAGATAGGATTACTTTAATTATCTTGAAGAATGGGTAGGATTTGGATTGTAGTGGCAATGGTTGGGTGTTCCTGTAGGGGGAGGACTATAAGAAAAAGTGTGAAGGCTAAAGTTTAAGGCTTATTTAAAAGAGCGAGAAAACCAGTTTGGTTGGGAGAACGATGTGAACTATGAAGGGGAGGAAAGGTACAGAGTGAAAAATTTCAAAAAGCACAAAATAGGATCAGTGAATTCAAGTTTAGGAGGGAATGTAAGACAGAAACCCTGATACAAGAAATAGAAAGGTAAAAAATTTGAGGTAAAGATGGTTGATAAGTAATAGTACAGTATTTTAAACAGGTTGCATTTGAGGTGATGGTGGTATATTTAAGTAAGAATGTCCCACTGGTAGATGGAAATGTGTGATTGGAACATGCCTGGGATGGGAAGAATAACTTGAAAGTCATCTGCCTAGCTATGGAAGTAAGTGGGGTTATAGAGAAAGAAGATCACAAGTTCTTCCTTAAACCTTGAGGAAATCTAGACTCTGAGTACATTTCCTAGATCCATAAAACATTTTATCTTCAAGTATTTTTTGCTTTTTTTATTTTTAATTTTTTTATTGTACTTTAGATGAAAGTTTACAGAACAAACTAGTTTCTCACTGTACAGTTAGTACACATATTGTTTTGTGACATTGGTTGCCAACCCCATGACATGTCAACCCTCTCCCCTTCTCGACTGTGGGTTCTCTATTACCAGCTTTCCTGTCCCCTTCTGCCTTCTCTTCCTTGCCCCTGGGCTGGTGTGCCCATTTAGTCTCATTTTGTTTTATGACCTGTCTAATTGTTGGCTGAAGATTGAACCTCAGGAGTGACTTCATTACTGAGAAAAAGGGTGTCCGGGAGCCACACCTTCGGGGTTTCTCTAGTCTCTGCCAGACCAGTAAGTCTGGTCTGTGTGTGTGTGTGTGTGTGTGTGTGTGTGTGTGTGTGTGTGTGTGTATTTTGTTCTACATTTTTCTCCAGCTCTGTCCGGGACCCTCTATTGTGATCCCTGTCAGAGCAGTCGGTGGTGGTAGCCCAGCATCTCTAGTTGTGCTGGACTCAGTCTGGTTGAGGCTGTAGTACTTGTGGTCCATTAGTCCTTTGGACTAATCTTTCTTTTGTGTCTTTGGTTTTCTTCATTCTCCCTTGCTCTAGATGGGGTGAGACCATTAGATTATCTTAGATGGCCACTCACAGGTTTTTAAGACCCCAGACACTACTCACCAAAGTAGAGTGTAGAACATTTTCTTTATAAACTATGTTATGCCAATTGAGCTAGATGTTCCCTGAGACCGTGGTCCCCACAGACCTCAGCCTAGTAATTCAGTCCCTCAGGGAGTTTGGATGTGTCTATGGAGCATCCATGACCTTGCCTTGGACAAGTTGTGCTGGGTTCCCCAGTATTGTGTACTGTCTTACCCTTCACCAAAGTTACCACTTATCTAATGTCTATTTAGTGTTTTTCCATCCCTACTCCCTCCCCTCCCTCGTAACTATCAAAGATTGTTTCTTTTTGTGTGTAAATCTTTTCATGAGTTTTTATAGTAGTGGTCTCATACAATATTTGTCCTTTTGTGATTGAGTTATTTCACTCAGCATAATGCTTTCCAGATTCATCCATGTTGTGAGATCCTTTGCAGATTCATCATTGTTCTTTATAGTTGTGTAGTATTCCATTGTGTGTATGTACCATAGTTTGTTTATCCATTCATCTGTTGGTGGACATCTAGGTTGTTTCCATCTTTTTGCTATCGTGAACAATGCTGCAATGAACATGGGTGTGCATATGTCTATTAGTGTGACAGCTTTTATTTCTTTAGGATATATTCCTAGGAGTGGGATTGCTGGATCATATGGTGTTTCTATTTCTAGCTTTTTAAGGAAGCACCATATCGTTTGCCAAAACAGTTGTACCATTTTGCATTCCCACCAGCAGTGCATAAGAGTTCCAGTCTCCCCACAGCCTCTCCAACATTTGTTATTTTCTGATTAGTGCCAGTAATGTTGGGGTAAGATGGTATCGCGTTGTAGTTTTGATTTGCATTTCTTTAATGGCTAGTCATGGAGAGCATTTCCTCATGTGTCTGTTAGCTGCTTTAATGCCTTCTTTGGTGAAGTGTCTGTTCATATCTCTTGCCCATTTTTTAATTGCATTATTTGTCTTTTTGTTGTAGAGGTTTTGGGTTTTCCTATAGATTTTAGAGATTAGACCTTTGAAGATTTGTCATAGCCAAAAATTTTTTCCCAGTCTGTAGACTTTCTTTTTACTGTTTCGGTGAAGTCTTTTGATGAGCATAAGTGTTTAATTTTTAGTTTTTTGCTTTTTTAATGGGAGTTAGGACCACACAAAATTGTATTTGTTAAGATTCTACCCCCTACGATTTTCATGTTGACTTTTGTGATTTTTAACTGGTTTTTATCCAATTCTAGAAGATAATTGTGGAGAATGTAATAATAATTTGAACTAAAATTCAAAATTTTTTTTAAATGTAAAGAAATTATTTAAATAATTGTTGTAGTTTTGCTTGTAAAGCATCCCTATTTTACTGTATATCTTGCATGGTAAACTTCCACTATTTTATTCTTCTCAAACCTTGGTACTGAGCAGGTCCTAAGGAGCCCTGATGGTACAGTGGTTATGAGCTCAGCTGCTAACCAAAAGGTCGGCAGTTCAAATGCACCAGCCACTCCTTGGAAACCCTACTGTATCCTACAGGGTCGCTCTTAATTAGAATCAACTCCATGGCAACAGACTATAGAAAAACCTCTGTTATCCAGAGAGCTTGAGGTGTGAGTCATTCTGAGGGACCAAGTTTTAAAAAGCCAATGATTAAGCTATTAAGAGCCAGAAATATAATTTTATTTAGAAAAGTTTAAAAAATGAATCATATACTTCTTCCTGTATGAAAATAACTGGACATAATTTAACTCTCATAGTTTGACCTTTATTTGATGAAGAGCAAGGTACAGATAATTTTGTGCCTCAGTTATTTTGATGTGTGGGATATATGCGATGTAAAAAATAGAAGATGTGGAATATAGGAGAGACCTGCTTGTTTTTCTCCCACTTGCCTCCTTCTGACTAACTGATAGCAATTTGGGGAGAAGGAACAATGGGAGAATAAGAGTTGAAGACCAAGATACCCTGTGGTAAACATAATGAGATTAGTTTTTTTTTTTTTTTAAAGGTGATTGGCATGGCGAACCAGGCATGAGAGCAGCTCTGAACTAAGAATTCCGGGAGTTTGTTTTTGAGCAATGTTAAACTTTAAAGGACACAATCATATTGATGCTTAAGTTCTGCTAATTGGTGGAAAACAAACCAAAAGTGGGCTAATTATAGTCATAGCTTGTAGCTGGTTCTTTAAAATGATTTAAAAATGAATGAAAAGTGATGGTGGCACAACATGATTAATATAATTGATACCACTGAATTGCACACCTGAAAATGTTGAATTTGCAGATGTTATATATATTTTTGCAACAATAAAAATAGGTATAGAGATGCCATTATTTTAATTCTCATCTGTACTTCAGGAAAATTTATAATGGAAATTATTTTGGATAAATGTCTATTTTCTTTTAAGGCTTGATATAGGTCTTGCATATTCAACTTCGTATTATAGTTTTTTTCTACTATCTGAATTAAAATTCAGAAATGTTTGAAAACATAAAATTAATTTTATCTTTGATATTTGCTTTTTTATTAACAGAAATGGATGATGAAGACTGTGAAAGAAGAAGAATGGAATGTTTAGATGAAATGTCCAATCTTGAAAAACAGTTTACCGATCTCAAAGATCAGTAAGTAGTTTCAGAAGGTCGTTGTCATGAAATCTCAACGATGTCACATATATACTAGCACAAGAGCAATCAGATTCAGTCTGAACTGTTTTCCCTTTTGTATTTTATGGGACTGATCTGAAAGAGGCCTCAATAATTGTTTGTCTGCTGAAGATCTCACTAAATTGAAGGTTTTAAGGTAGGGTTTTTTTTGGGATGAGGTGGGATATAATAAGATTTCTATGTTGGTACTGGTCATTAAAATCTTTTCTCTGGATTGTTACACCCTTGGCTCTAATCTGCTTATTTCATTCCTTTGTTAAATAATTGGATAACATTTTGAGAATATAATAGAATATTTCTCAAAGATCCTAACTCTGGAAAAATTATTTTTGTTTGTAACTTACATTGGATAGTACATGCAGTGACATGTTTTCATATGCATTTTTTAGTTTTACTTCTTGCAGGAACTCTGTGAGGTTGGAAGATAGTCTTATCTCCACTTTACTTGTGAGAAAATTGATGCTTAGAGAGTAGCCTTAGTTATCTAGAGCTGCTATAACAGAACTACCATAAATGGGTGGCTTTAATAAACAAATTTATTTTCTCACACGTTGGGAGGCTAGAAGCCTGAATTCAGGGTGCTGGCTCTAGGGGAAGGGTTTCTCTCTCTGTCAGCTCTCAAGGAAGGTCCATGTCTCTTCTGAGCTTCTGCTCCTGGGTGATCTTCATGTGGCTTGGCATCTCTCTTCCCCAGTCTCTGCTTCTCTCACTTGTTTGTTTAATCTCTTTCATATCTCAAAAGAGATTGACTTAAAACACACTCTATACTAATCCTGTCTCATTAACATGACAAAGAAAACTCATTCCCAAGTGGGGTTATAACCTCAGATATAGGGGTTAGAATTTATAACACATATTTTTGTGGGACAAAGTTCAATCCATAACAGAGAGGTTAAGTGATTTGCTCACAATTTATCAGAAAGTGATAAACTAAGCTAGGCTTTCTGCCTCCTAGAGCTATTGTGTTCCTTCCACTAAAGTGCATTATTTTGGAGGAAATGTGGTGAAGTAGAAAGAGTGTGGGCTCTGAATCCAGGTTTTCTAGACTGTTTAAAAAGGGATAATAATAACTTCCTTGTTATTTACTGTGAAGATTGAATGAGTGAGTGATATGTAAAATTCTTAGCCATGTGCCTGGCACATAGTAAGTGCTTAGCAGATGCTGATTTTCTTCCCTTTTTATGATAACCAGAACTCTTATGTGAGATTGGTAACAAAAATTGGGCCCCAGTGATTTGAGAAAACAGATGTAGATCCAAGTTCATAAAACAACAAAAGATACCTTAAAAGAGAGCATTCACTTTGGAACTTGGTGGCGTGGTCATGGGTATAGCTACATATTAGGGGTTATAAATGAAAGAAAGAAGCTTAGGAAAATATAGACATCTTATTCAGAAGCTGACTTCTGAATTCTTTAGAATTTTGCTGCTTATTCTTTTTCTCCTACTACTTCTTGAGAGAGGCTCAAAGAAGAGATGCAATTCATTTAACATGTCGAGAATTGCCACCAAGGTAGTTCAAACTAAAATGGGACAGATTTGTTTATCACATGAATCCTAGTGTTTATGCCATATCTGTTCTTAACTCTCATTGGTGTTAGAGATGAATGTATAGATGTTTCATGCTAGTGCAGCAAATTAATACAAGCAATCCAAAATACATAATGAGCTAAAATTATAAAAATTTAGCTTTGAAAAACATAGTATAATTTTCTTATTCTAAAGATTTCCATTACTGATTTTAAATTAAACTACTTTGTATCCCCAAAGAATGCATTATTTGAACAGTGTGGAGAGTTCACTCAGGCTCATTGTGGAAAAGAGGAAGCCAGTTTATATTTTTGCATTTTAGCATAAGTAATTCATGAATATCATGAAATTAATTAAGATTTGACTATTGGACTTTTAAATTTCATTTTATGGTTAGCCAAGAAACGAAAATTACTGTAAAGCTCTAGTAAACCACTGTAAACGAAGTGTTACATAGGAGTACTTTGCAACTAGTCCATCATTACACCTAACCTTGTTCATCTTGGGGCTGGCAGATGTCTTGATTTTTGCTTTCTCATGGCTCACTATGACCACCAGCCAGTTCCCCCTACCAGCTTTATTTATCTCTGAGAGTATTAAAAATAGGCCTATGACCACTATTTAATAAGATTCTTTCTCAAGGAATTGGTTTACAGATATGTTTCAGAAAAAAATTAATCTTTGCCCCAGGTTTGTAATTATTTTTTTCCTATTGCCCCAATTGCTTTGTTTGTTATTTTTATCCTGTTGTATTGTATATCTCTGCAAGCTGTCTCAAATTGTCTTTGGAAGGGGCAGGAAATATAATAATAATAATGTATTTATCCCGCTTCTCCTATTCTAGCAAAACTGAGTACAATGGCACACCCTTCATAAGGCAGAAAACTCAACATTTTCAGTTTCTGTAATGGTGGAAGGTGTGTTCTTCCACCTCCTTAAAAAGACAGAGAAATGTATACCACTCAAGCTTTCATTTATTTTAAGATTCAGAATCCAAAAACATTCATTGAGCATCCACTCTGTGAATTGTATTGTGGTTGTTACCAAGGAACTTATGATCTTTGCTTTTGATGAATTTATAATTGAATCCCAAGTCTGTAGAAATTATACTGATTTTGAGGATTCTTTTCTTTTATACAAGGAGCCCTGGTGGTAAATTGGTTCAGCACTCGGCTGCTAACCAAAAGGTTGGCAGTTGGAACCCACCTTCTAGCTACTCTGTGGGAGAAAGATGTGGCAGTCTGCTCCTGTAAAGATTGCAGCCTTGGAAACCCTATGGGGCAGTTCTGCTGTGTCATATAGGGTCGTGATGATTGGAATTGACTCAACAGCAGTGACTTTAGGTTTTTTTTTTTAAATGTTTATTGAATATTACCAATTCGTTTAACCCCTTCATTCAATATACTGGTTCACAAATTGGGGATAACTTATCAACATTTTGTGTAAATTTGATGTTTTTTAGGTACAGTCATTTGTTGTATCAGTTTTTTGCATTTCACCTAAATTTGTGTTATAATTTCAAAAAATATAAGTATCATGATGTATTTTTCTGACTTACACACACATGTATTCATCATTTTATCTTAAGTTTTAGAAAAATTTAGCCCAGACATGATAATGCATTGTTTTGGCAGGTAATTTAAATAATTATTTCCCTTATTGTTTAAACAGAAAAGAATATTTGTTGTATTAACACTCACATTTACTTAACTCCTGAAGAATCATCATATAAATCTCTGTACTAATTACTGTGATCAAGGCAAAAATACATCTGATAGGTTAATAGAATATAAATGAGATTAAGAAGAGATAATGTACAGATGAGATAAAGTATTATGTTGGGATTTTAAAATTACTATCTTAATTTTTGCTTTGTTTAGGCTTTATAAAGAACGATTAAGTCAGGTGGACGCAAAACTACAAGAAGTCATAGCTGGAAAGGCACCAGAGTATTTGGAACCACTGGCAACTTTACAAGAAAACATGCAAATCCGTACAAAGGTAGCAGGTAGGAAAGTGAAACATCTTTTCCATGTACTAGGTTTTGAACCCTTGAATAGATTTAAAATGTGTTTGTCAAGTAAATGTTTGTTGTTAATGAGATTACAAATAGATATACACTGATCAGAATATTTCACTGTCAACCAACCCACAATTATTTATTAAATACCTCTTGCTTTACTCTGCTGCTGTGGGATATCAAAAACAAGCCCCCCCAACTTATGTGAAATACCTAGAATAGGCAAATATATAGAGATCAAAGTGGTTACTAATAAACTGGTAACCAGGGATGGTAGGGAGGGAGAAAAGGGGAGTCATTGCTTAGGGGGCACTGAGTTTCTGTTAATGGCGATGGAGTAATTTGGAAACAGATAGTTGTGATGGTTGCACAATATGATGAGAGTAATCAATGTCACTGAATTGTGCATGTAAAAAATGTTGATTTGGCAAATGTTTTGTTATATATATATTTTAACCATAATTAAAAAAAAAGAAAGCCCTCAAGTTGCTGAGAAGAAGATACTTCTACATGTAAAACAATTAGAAACCACATACCCTTTCATTAGAGTTACTGTTACCATCACAGGTTAATTCCCTATTAGGTTAGTTACAGAGTAAATGAAATAACCTTAATTTAAGTACTCTTGATATTTTTTCATCTGTAAGAGTGATAAGGAGTTTTTTTTATTATAAGATTTTTAAATGTTTTATCAAGATGTTATGAATATCATGAATCTGGAGGACATTATGCTGAGTGAAATAAGTCATTCACAAAAGGACAAATATTATATGAGACCACTATTACAAAAAGTTAAAAAAGGTTTACACACAAAAAGCAACATTCTTTGATGGTTACCAGGGATGGGGGGGAGGGAGGGAAGACCACCAACTAGATAGCAGACACATGTTAACTTTGGTGAAGGGAAAGGCAAGAATAAAAGACAACCGTGCTATATACTACAACATATACAACCCTGCAACAACAGTAATAACACCATAATTTACAAGTGAATACTTAGCAAGTATGTATGCTGGATAGGTATGGGAGGGCATATGGGGGCACCCCCACGTGTATATGTAGACTAGGTTGTGGATATTTCTACGTACATATTTGTATGTGCTGCATGTATAGCCATATATACAATGCACAAAGGGAGTGGAGTCATGGAAACTTCTTGGACATAACCAAACACTTCGTGGGACTGAGTTACTGGGCTTGAGGGCTGGTGATCATAGTCTCAGGTGGCATCTAGGTCAGTTGGCATAACACAGCTCATAAAGTCAGTGTTCTACATCCTGCTTTGGTGAGTAGCATCTGGGGTCTTAAAAGCTTGCGTGTGGCCGTCTAAGATACAACTATTGGTCTCTTCCTGTCTTGAGCAAAGGAGAGTGAAGAAAACCAAAGACTCACGGAAGCAATTAGTCCAAAGGACTAAAGGCCCACATGAACCACAGCCTCCATTAGCCTGAGACCAGAAGAGCTGGATGGTGCCCAGCTACCACTACTGACTCCTCTCACCAGGATCACAATAGAGGGTTCCAGACAGAGTGGGAGAAAAATGCAGAACAAAATCCAAACTCATAAAAAAGACCAGACTTACTGGTCTGACAGACACTGGAGGAACCCCTGAGACTGTGACCCTTAGTCACCCTTCTAACTTGGATCTGAAGCCACTGCCGGAGATAACCTTTCAGCCAAATCATAGACAGGCCTATAAAACAAACCAAACCCGTGAAGAAAGTGCTGCTTAGAACAATCAGCTGTATGAGACCAAAAGGGCAACATTTTCCCAAAAGCAAAGATGAGAAGGCAGGAAGGGGCAGGAAAACCAGATGAATGGAAACGAGAAACTCGGCGGAAATGGGGAGAGTGCTAACACATTGCAGGGATTGCAACCAATGTCACGGAACACTTTGTGTATCAGTTATTGAATGGGAAACTAATTAGCTTTGTAAACTTTCACCCAAAGCACAATTAAAAAAAAAAAAGATATTATAGAACATCACAATTACAGAGGCTTCCTAGACATATCCAAACAACTCGTGGGATTGGTTTACTGGGTTAAAAGTCTTGGAATCATGGTCTCAGGGGACAACTTAGTCAAACTGGCCTAACATAGTTCGCAGAGATAATGTTCTACTGCCTAGCTTGGTGGGTAGCATCTGGGGTCTTAAAAGCTTGCAAGTGGCCATCTAAGATATCACTATTGGTTTTTACTTGTATAGAACAAAAGAAAATGAAGGAAATTAAAGGCTCAAAGAAGAAGCTAACCCATGGGACTGATAGCCCACATAAACCACAGCCTCTTCTAACCTCAGACCAGAAGAGCTGGATGGTCCCTGGCTACCACTAACGACCATTCTGACCAGGGACACAGTAGAAGGCCCCAGACAAAATGGGAGAAAAATGTAGAACAAAACTCAGATTCCTAAAAAAGGCCAGACCTGTTGGACCAATAGAGATGAGAGGAGCTCCTGAGACTATCTCCCAAAGATAACCTTTGAAGATGGAAGTGAAGCTAGTTCTGCAGGTCACCTTTCAGCCAAATAATAGATTGGCTTATAAAATAAACAGTGTTATCCATGAGTGATGTGCTCCCATAAACAGTGAACTATATGAGACCAAATGGTCAACAGTTACCCAAAAGCAAGCTTAGACAGCAAGCAGAGGAAGGGAAGCTAGATAAATGGAAACAGAAAAAAACAGAATGGAAATAATGAATACTGACACATTCTAAAAATTGTAACCAATGGTGTGGAACAATCTGTATAAAAACTGTTAAATGAGAACCTAATTTGCTGTGTAACTTTCACCTAAAACACAATAAAATATTATTTAAAAAAAAAGAAAAGAAAAAGGTATTATAGACACGGAGTTAGCCTTCAACCAGATAATTTAATGATAGTTTTTTTATTTAGGTATACTTGGTTACTCATTCATGTCTATAAATAAAATGAAGATGTACTTTATTTCTATTGTTAAATTTCAGTCTTATGTTTGATTCAGGCTCAGTATCATGTACCAGCACTCATAACCAAGGGATATATCTGTTTAAAGATCCCTTATGATTTTTCATAGTCAGACTGCAAACTTTAATAAATGAAGATCCTGATTGATTTTCTTTTTTGGTAAACTGGTTGATCTTCATGTACCTGTTAAGTAATACCTAAGACATTGTTGATAATAGATTTTTGTACTTCAGTAACTACCTGATTCCAACTCATAGTGACGCTGTAGAACAGAGTAGAACTGCCCCATAGGGTTTCCAAGGAGCGGCTGGTGGATTGGAACTGCCGACCTTTTGGTTAGCAGCACAAGCTCTTAACCACTGATCCACCAGATCTCCTCTTCAGAACTAAATCCACATTAATCCAAATTTTATTCTTGTGTTTAATATTAAGTATGTAGATAATGTGATACTTAATCTGCTCTCTTTGCATATTGGCCTAGCATACCCCCAAAGTAAAAATGTTTCTTATTTTCTTTGACATTCTTTTTGACTAAGTGGGTGTTCAGGAAATATTACTTGAATAAATTATTCAGTTTTCAACTTTGCACCTTCCTTTACTTTTTTGGCTTTATAGAGTAATATGTGTGAGTGTGTTACTAATGGTGTAGCCTCCAGATATCTATCCCCTGCCTTTAGTACACAAAGAGGGAACTATATTTCTAGGCCAACCATAACACAGAGTTTAATATACACATCTAGAATTCTTTGCCATCTTTATGGTGGCACATTTTCATGGCCATGTTTCCTATTTTATACTACTGCCTTGTTGCTAAAGTTAAGCTCCCTTGGGCGTACATTTTCCAGGTAAAGCCCTGCCAGGAGCACTCCTAACATCATAAACTTTGTTATGTGGGGTTATACATTTAATCCTCTTGGGAGCTCTGGGCTCTGAAGAGAAATAATAGTTTGAACACAGTGGTTTTAATGAATGTAGTATCTAGCTGTTACTTTGTGATTGATGAAAGCCACAGTTTATTGTCTCTCTCTGTTTTCATTATGAGTCCTGAGAGTTTGTTTTTCATGGGAAAAGAGTTTTATTTTCATTTTGATCATTGTCTGTCAAACATTTGGGAGTGTTCTTTAGAAGAATGGGATAAAAACTAAAATTAGCTGTATAGTTTCTTTCCAGCTCTTAAATTCTTGATTTTCTAAGTCTTCCTTGATATATATTTTAAATGATCCTTTTTTATTTTCAGTGTTTAAAGATAAAGTAAGAGTACTTGTCACTTTCTTCTTTCTTCTCACAAAATATGGTGAGGACAGAATTCTCATAGGGAAGTTATAATGAAACCTCTTATTGTTAACATAATCAGAGTAATTGTGTTTGGTTGCAGGAATCTATAGAGAGCTCTGCTTAGAATCTGTAAAGAACAAATATGAATGTGAAATTCAAGCTTCTCGCCAGCATTGTGAGGTACTGACATTTTGCTTAACTTTTAAGCTAATTTCATCTCTCAAGCCTTTTTTGAGTACAGTAGTTACAAAAGTAAATAAATTAAGTGAAACAAAATTAAATAGTACTTCAGCTCATCACTTGTGTGATTTTTTTAATACAGTTGCGCTGGAAGCTGTATTGGAAATAGGACACAAAGAGAGGAAAAGAAACTAAGTGAGATAATTTCAGGATTTTTGCAACTGTTACTTTAAAAAGACTTTGTAATGATTATGTTATCTGACATCACTGAAAATATTATTAAAATTAGTAAAATATGAAAGTTAAGACTCAATGTATATCCAGTGGTGCAGTTAAATAAAATGTTGGGCTATAAAATTAATTTCTGACTCTCTATGCCTATTTCTACATCTTAAGGAAAAATTTCTCTGTTTATAGGAATAAATAGCTGTATTTGTCTATAGTGTATATAAAACAGTGCTAATTTTTTAGCTAACTTTTCATATAACTCGCACAGGATCATAAATATACTGGTGGAAATAGCAGGACAAGTTTTATAATTATTCTTATCTTTAATTCACCATATCTTTATAAACTATTAAAACACTTAAGAGTAGACAGGTATAAAAGTGATGAAGCTTGTTTCATTTTCATGAGTACAACTTAGGTGAAACATCTTTTTGATGTTTACTGGCTGCTTAGATTTTCTTTCCTAAGAAGTATCTGTTCATATCTTTTGCCTTTATGTTAGACTGTTAGTCTTTCCCTCATTGGGCTGTAGAGGGTCTTTATATATTCTTGATACAAATGCTTTGCTGGTTGTATACTTTGCAAATATTTTAACCCAGGTGGTGGGATGTATTTTCACTCATCATGATGACTTGATGCATAGAAGTTTTATATTTTAATGTAGTTGAGTTCATCATCTTTTCTTTATGATATGTGCTTTTTATGTCTTCCCCACATTGAGATAAAAAAGATGTATTTTCCTTTAAAAGTTGAAATTTTACTTTTAGTATTTACATTGTTAACCTACGTTTATTAATTTTGGGAATGGTGTAAAGTATAGATCTAATTTTACTTTTTTTGCATATGGGAAACGTAGTTATGCCAGCACCATTTATTGTATATTCCATCCTTTTCCCACTAATCAGCAATTCCATTTCTTTTGTATATCAGATACCGATATGGGTTGGTCTGTTTGTAGCTTTTTTTGTCTGTTGTTTTGATCTGTTTGGTAGTTTCTTTTTCTTTAGTTTTCAGTCTAGTAGGTCTTGATAACTCAGTAACTTGGTAATCAATCTTACCTTGCCCTTTTTCTTTTTAAAATTGTTGTTAAATTTTTTTTCATTGTAAACATCTTTTTAAAAATTACTTTTTATTTTCTGCTGATATATATAGAAAAGTAATTTTGTATATTGATATTGTTATTATCTCTAGCAACCTTACAGTATTTTATTAATTCTAATAATTTGGTTACAGATTCTCTTAGATTTTTCCACGTAGATAATAATATCATTTGTGAGTGGCAGTTTGTTTCTTCGATTCTGATCTTTATTTTTGTTTTACTTGTCTTAATGGCACTAGCTAAGATCTCTAGTATAGCATGGAAGCAGTGAGAACAGACCTCTTTGTTGTGTTCTTGATTTTAAGGGAATGCTTCTAGCAGTTTTTCAATAAGTATGAAATTTACTATTGCATTTCGACAACTGCTTGTTTTATCAAGTTAAGGAAATTTCCCTTTATTTCTCGATTTTTTTATTAATATTTTTTACCTTGAATAGTCATTGGATTTTGTCAAATGGTTTGTCTGCATCTATTGAATTAGCCATAGTTTGTTGCTCTTAGTGTATTAATGTGGTGACTTATGTTATTGATGTATATTCTAGTACATCCAAGGAATACAAACCATCCTTTGATTCCTAGGATGGCTATTTTCTTGTGCATTGCCAGACTCATTTTGCTGATATTTCATTTAGAAGTTTTATTTCTATGTTTATAAGTCAGATTTAATTTTCAATTCTCATACTTTTTTTGTCGGATTTGATTTCAATATTCATAAAATGCATAAAGAATATTCCATATTTTTCTCTTCCATAGAAATATATTTAAAATTGCAATCGTCTATTCCGTGAGTGTTTAGTGCATATTGTCTTTATGATCACATGCTCATACTTACAAGAAAGTTGCAAGAAAAGAACAAAGAACTCTTTTTGGTGAACAGTTTGAGAGTGAGTTGACAACATGATGTCCCATCATCCCTGAATTTACTGTATATTTCATACAAGCAAGGACATTCTCTTACATAGCTGCAGTACAGTCATTAAAATCAGCAAATGTACATTGATACAGTGCTACCTTCTAATCCTCAGACCCCATTCAAGTTTAGCAGTTGTCCCAGTAACATCCTTTAGAGCAAAGAGATCCGTTAAGAATTACATGTTGTCTTTAACTGTCATTGCATTTAGTTGTCATGTCTTTTCAGTCTCCTTCATGTGAAACAATTCCTTAGTCTTTGCTTAACTTTCATAATGTTGACATTTTTGAGATTTCAAGCCAGTTATTTTGTAGAATGTTCCTCAGTTTGAGTTGGTCTGTTATTTCTTCATGATTAGAATCAGATTTGCACTTAGAGCCTAGGCTGAGACAGATATATTTCCCTCAGGTACATCTTTTCTAGCATACCTTTTCATTGAAGGTGTAACCATTCAGGGCTTTATGCAAGGATCCCAGTTCCTGCTCTCCATTTTGCTTAGGCCCGAGACCTTTCTCTGTTTCTCAAGCAGTCATTGAAAACCAGCAAATACTCTCAATGAAGTCACAGATTCAACATCAGGTTGTCATGCTGGTTAGCATCAGGTTAGCATGCACCTTCTTTTTGTCGTTGGGGGTATCTCTAATTTTCTTAAGAGCTTAGCTATACCTTTAAAAGGATGTTTGTGACATTTTATATAGGATACGTGATTATATAGGATATGTGTCTAGGTGTGTTGGGAGGCTGTTTGTTTGTTCGTTTTTTCCCTAGGATGTCTAGTCCACTATATTGCCAGAAACAAAAGTCAACAAGTTACCTTCAAGTTATGTTTTTTACTTAGAAAAATGTATCTGTTTTCTTTTAAAGTTTTATGTATTTTATATTCACTCATTTTAATCCTTACAACAACCTTTTGGGATAAGAATTATCTTGATTTTACAAATGAGGTAACTGAGGCTCAGAGAAGATAAATAATTCACCGAGGGTCACACAATTCACGAGCAGTAGACCCAGTCTTGAAATCCTTTGCTCTTTCTAGTCACTCATGCCATTTACCACTAAATCTGAACCTCTTTATTCAGGGCTTTTATCTGCTTATTACTTAGTTCTGCATCAAGGTTCATATATAGAAATTACTGAGAGGCAATGGAAGTGGAAAGAAGGACTTCATTTTACCAGTTGTCAGAATGAAAGTTTGATTAGCACCAGACAGAGAGCAGGGCCCAGGACCAGACGAGACATGTTCACATGGATATGCATACAGTGTGCCAAAAACCACAGAGGCAATTGAGGCAGCAGATGGTCTGTATCAAATTAAGGAAAGAAATCACATTTATAGAATGGTATGATGTGCCAGACACTAAGGCAGGTGGAGATGCTTTATTTTGGTTCTCTCACTTAAGCCTCACCACAGGGTAGTCTTAAGATCTGACAGCAGGTGGTAGCAAGGTCTCAGTCAGAGGCCTTCATGGTTCAGGGTTAGGATTCCATTCCTTGAGAAGACTGGTGAGAGATGTTCAAGACTTTGATCATTTGATTGTTCATTTAATGATTTTTTTCGGATTATAACATTAATACGCGTTTATTGAGAAATGAAAGTCTAAGGAAGGTAATGAAATCAACCATAATCTACTAACCAGAGGTCATCACTGTTAATAAGCATGCATATGTTTGTGTAATTTTTTTCCGACACTGCTGGTATAATTCTGTACATATTACTTTGTATCTTTTTTCAAGCAGCATTTCATGAGTGTTTCCCTATTGCTCTAAATGCTGCTTTTAAAATTTTTATTTTGACAGGTAATATGTGTGCATATTGTGAAGGCCCTAGGTTTATAATGCAAAACAACAGTCTCCTGCCCCACCTGTAAATTCTGTATCCTAGAGGTGATCAATTTTAACTCTTTTATCTACTAATTCTGGAATTTGCTGTTATGTTTCTAATTAACATCAGTTCTAGACATTATCTGTTGGCTTCCTGTTATGGAAGTTGAGGATTCCATAATAGTTCTTTTCATCCTGTTCTTCTAATGTTGTTATGTCACAATTTTTGTTGTCATAATCATAAACATTGTTCATTGAGCAAAGTTATACTGTGCTTAAACTTCCTTTCTTGTACAACTTTTTTTTAAAACCTTGGAATTAATAATAGCTTCATTTACTGCTTGTTAGTGTTCTCTGTATTTATCAATTCTTCTCAGAGATTCCAGCAGATGTGGAAGGTCCCCTAATGCTGTTTTCACTGTGCATCAGACAATCCATCAACTCCATTTTCTTCTGGAAGACTCCCTCCTGGAAGCAACCCCTCTACCCTCCGGTGCCCCGTTCTAGTCCTCAATTCTGCTCCATCCTTCAGATGCTCTCTAGGCCAACATCATCGCTGTTTTCACGGGATATCTCTCCACCATCACCCTGGAAATTCCCTTCATTTCTCTCCCACTAGATCTCGTTTTCTCTTTCAGTTTGGCAAACTGGGAAAGGGTATATAGAATTGAGTTTTTGAGATCTCTTGTATTGAATATCTATTGCTTTGTAATAAAATTACTTCAAAATTTAGTAGCTTAAAACAACAATAGACATTATTTTCATGTTTCTGTGGTCAGGGATTTAGGAGACACTCAGGTGGGGGGTTCTGACTCGGGATCACACGAAGTTGCTGTCAGAATGTCAACTGAGAATGCAGTTATCTGAAGGGTTATAGGGGCTGGAGGATCCTCTTCCAATGTGACTCATCACAAGCCTGGTCACCTGACGTGGCTTGTTGGAT